AACAAAGTTTTTATTTAATTTTAACGACACCTAAAACTATCAATTAGCTCTTTTACTCTGACTTGTGTCTCCGTGATATTTCACTGTTCTTCATGTGTTTAAATCATCTAAAAATACCACTATACAAATATTTAGCGTTATTTCAACTGTTTTTAAAAGTTACGGTATCCTCCTTTTTTTCTTTTTTTTCTTCTTTTAACTGCCTTTTGTCCATTCATGCCAGATTTTCACGTTTTTCAAAATTATTATGATTTTTTTTTTTTTTTAACAGATTTATTTCTTTATTTCTTTATTTATTGCGCAGTGAAGGAAACAAAATAAGACACAAAACATTCTCTTGAGCCTGACTTTTTAAAGAAACAATACAAATGAAGGCATGGCTTCATGATTCTGAATTACTAGATGTTCCACTTCTTCCATCAGCACCTGAACGCAACCTGACTTCCTCCCTGGACGCTTTCAAGTGCCAACATTTGTAATAAGCAAGCAGGCGTAATTCAGACCAACTCCTTACACATGCGCACATGGTTTGGCCTGACTGCCGGGAGGAAGAGGAGCAGGAGGGAGGGAGCTAGATGATGCTGAGGAGGAGGAGGAGGAGGAGGAGGAGCAGGAGGGAGGGAGCTAGATGATGCTGAGGAGGAGGAGGATCGTGTCCGCCGGCAGCAGCAGCAGCAGCAGCTCCATCCCATGTGCTCAGCGGAATAAAATGGGCTCGGATTCAGACATGTGCTGCAGGAAGACCGGCTCCATGTAGCTTTGTTATCTCTTAAATCCAAATCTCTGGTGAAAAAAACAAGGGGAATATTTTTATCACTCCTTTTTTTTTGTTTTACAAAAATGCTTCCCTGCTCATCATCATCCGCGCAGATGGAGGGATGCGAGGAGGAGAGGAGCGCTCACATGCAAACAGAGGTAACCCCACAAAAAACACGAAACATCCCGTTTTCATCCAACTCATTCAGCTCAGTCTGCACAACAAACAAGCCAGTGTCTCGAAAAAACGCCTTCACTCGTCGTCTGGGCTCGGATGGGACGCTTCTGGGCTTTTTTATAATTCGCCGGCCGGCGTCTCCTGGAGGTTATTGTAGGCATCAAAGAGCGGACCCCTCCCTAAATGCTCGCCATCCAGGCAGAGAGGAGCAACCAAATGTTGAATTTATATCACAGCTGCGTTCTCCTGTCGGGTTGAAGCTGCAGAATTTATAAATGATTTTGGTGTTTTTTTTTCGACAGAGGGTGAAATGTGCAGAGTTTTGGGAGGCTGCAGGATGATGTCTGGCTGCTGCCTTTAATAGACAGAGAGAGAAAAAAAAGCCTTGCCTTAGGTTTGAACAGATATTGAGCAAAAGAGTAGCTTGCGTCTTCTCAGTATATCCCGTTTTTCTGACAGAACACACCAGTGTAAGAGGTGGATATAGTAAGAAGTGAACCCAAGACCTCTTCAGCCTTGCTTTAGGGAATGGAGCCGCCCCACCCTTTGACCTCCCAGCAGAGAATCAAACCCCTGAACCTGCTGATGTAAGGACCCCTGAGAGCTAAACAACAGAAGGGCTCAGCTTAGAATAACACCAGAACAAAACAGAAATACTTTATTAATCCCTGAGGAGACATTGGGCTGTTACAGCCGACAGCATGAAGTCAGCACCACCATAAATACAGAACATATGCAGTCAGTAGAAATAAACAATAAGAACATATCAAATGCAAAAGGCACAGTAAGTGTAATGTATAAGTACAAATGTCCTGTGTGATAAAATCTAAACATATGTGATAAAATCTAAACATATGTGATAAACTATCCATAAAACATATACAAATGTTAAAGTCTATAAATCAGAATGTACAAATGTTTAGCTGTTAGTTTGTAAGTGGATTTCAAATAATGTGCAGTGGTACAAGAAAAACAAAACAGGATTAGTGCCTTGCCCCCTCTATGAAATGGGAATAGAACCTCCAACCCTGCCTTGCTCTAGTCATTGAGCGACAAAGTGAGAAATCAAACTCTTGCTTTTATCCACTTCATAGTTATTTGGACTTGAACCCCAAACCCCAGAAGTGGGCCAGTGCCTTGCTCTGCCCTACAAACACAGTCATGACACGTCCCATCAGAGCTGAACTGATGGTTTGACTCCTTCATATACCAGAGAAACTATTAGACCATCAAACAATCAGGAAACAGGATACATGCTAACTAGCCTAGCTAGCAGAGAAGCAGTAATTTAATTAAGGATTAGTTTGATCTGTTATCTTAGCATTTGACTGTGTTTTCTAAAACATATGGCACAACACCAGTAATGTTTTTCATTACTAAGCTATAAATTTAGCCTTAAAACCAAACTCTTGTGCTGTGGCTAGCTAAGTGGAGGGATAGCCTGATCCAGAGCTGCTTTAGCTAACTCACTATCCCTGTTTATTTCAACTGAAAAATCCACCTTGATGCTTAAATATTAGCAGCAGAGTTTTTATAAACCATGAATAGTTTGATAGCATAATTTCCCAAAATTATTTAAGGCAGCAGGAACACCGAGTGACCGTTGCTTTATGCTAACTAGCAGTATAGCAGCAATGGCCGCCTTTAATTTTATTTTATTTTTATATGAGCATGTGTGCACACTGTGTTTTCCTGTTCAGCTGTCACATACATGAATTGTGTCGTACAATTTTATTTTTATTTTTTATACAATCAATTTTTCAGGCTTTTGGTGAAAGAAACCCTCACAGAAATGCGATAGCTGTAAAATGCTCTGGCTGCTCAAAGGTAGCGAGAAAAATAGCTAAAGCTAATATGGCCAACTTGCTTTTTCCCTGTTTCTTTAAAAAAAATAAAAATCTATGCTGTTGCCTCAAAATATTACTATATTAATATTACTGAAATGAAGATGAAGCCTTGCTAAAAACTATCTAGCCTAGCTAGCAGAGGCTAGCTAGCTACTGGAATTTGAACCATTTTATGTGCCTAAGCTACCTTTAAATCACACAGAGCTGATCTATCCATCCATCCATCCATTATCTATACACTGCATATTCCTCACGAGGGTCATGGGGGGCGGAGCCTATGCCGGTTGACTCAGGGCGAAGGCAGGTTCACCTGGACAGGTAGCCAGTTGAGGTATCTATCTATTGCAGAGTTCTCTACTTAAACTAACACTCTGGTTCAAATGCAGAAAAGAACTGAAAAACAATCAGGAATTTATTTTTGCATTTATTGTGCTGCATTTAAACAACTGCAACTCCCACAAGGCTTTGCAACCCAGCACCACTCTGGCTGAGCTGCACTAGGTCTACATGCTATGCTTTGTTTTTTCTCGTCACTTTGTCTTGACCTTGGAAAACATTTACAGTCTGAGGAAAAGAACTGTAGGCCAGAGGCTGATGTTGTGCTTTCATGGCTGACAGCTGCATTTCATGGCATTCATTCAGTCAGCAGAGCTGGTTCAGGTGGTCACGCATGGCAGATGGTCACCACAATCACTTCTGATCACATGATCAGAGGACCACGCTTTGATTCGTTAAGTCACATGATGATCCACCTGAGCCAGCGCTCCTCAGCTGAGACAGCAACATTTGGTGAACAGGACCAAAACGGGCGGCTTATTGATCCACGGGTTGACGGTTTGAGCCTTGGTTTCAGTTTAGCTTTTCTGCATGAACAACTGTGTGTGTCAGGGGTCAGATGTGATGGCCGATGAATTTATGTTTAACTCAGAAAAACAATGCTATTTTTCTGAATTACTAATAAATCAGGAAAAAGTCAGCTAACAGTTAAGATGAATCGAGTCTTTAGACTAAGACTTATTTAAGGTTTTAAATTATGAGAAGATTGTATTATTGGGGGTTTTTTTGTGATTAAAAAAAACTAGACTAATCTTAGCCGTTAACAAGGCAAAACAAGCGATTTAAAGATGTGTCCTTGTAATTAAAAAGCATATCTCTCTTTTTTTTTTTAACTTCTTTGGAGATATTTTGTAGATCAAATGACAAATCATCAACACAATGCTGCAGTAATTATTGATGTAGACTTGTTTATTAGTGCCATAATGGAAAACCCAACATTTATAAGCTCTGTAGACCAATCAGTGAAAACCACTAATGAATATTGTCTGGCTGGTTAATGGATGAAGTTGCCGGCTTCATGAAGGAGGAGCTTTTTGGACACAGACAGTCCCAAATTGCTGCATAATGCTGTCAGCGTTTCTGCTCCATCCAAGTAGTTAAAGTCCTCATCAAATACCTGCTTGTACCTATTTCTAGTAAGTGCATGTTTTAAATTTAAAAGAATAAAGTGTAGCACTCACTGGGCAGCACAGGGAATTGAACCGCTCACTCTGGCAGCGTCTGTGCCTTGCTGTGTGCCTTGCTGTGTGCCTTGCTGTGTGCCGGTGAACCCGCCGCCCTCGCTGCACTCTTCAGGGAAATCTGAGCTGACAGCGTGTGAGACTGCAGGTACAGAGCGCAGCAAGGAAAGTGGGCCAAGTGCTTCCTGCTGCTGGAGGAGAGACAGAGCTGGATGCTGAGCGTCCTCTTCGTCCTGCTCATCTGTGAATGTTGGCTTGGTTTTGTTGCAATACTCCAACTTTAACCGTTGGTATTTTTCCATTAGATAAAGCACAGATTTCCCCCAAAACATCGTCTTTGGTTTTAAGTGCTTTTAATGTGAAATCGATGTGATTAAACTGCGTCCATCTGTTTGCCTGAAGTCATAGTTCAGGTCTTAAAAATCAGATATCTCGGTAGGTGTACATCAATTAAAGGATGCGGGCCAAGAAGCTGAGGTTATAAAGTTCAGCCTTCAAATCACACTGAGAACACTGATTGCAGGGCTTGAGCTCACCTGGTTGAGCTCACCTGGTTGAGCTGTGGCCACCCATGTACAGGAGCTATAGTCTCCGATGCAGTGGCCCTTTGCTGCAACCCCTTCCCTCATTCTCCTGTCTAATAAAGGCCAAAAAAATAACTAAAAAAAAGCACTGATTGCAGTAAGATCTTCTCAGTCCAAGTGTGAATTTGATAGTCAAGCAACCTCAAGCAAAGAAGTTGAGTCCACCTCGCTGTGCTCCAGATCCAACTCCCATCTTATTCTCCATGGTGGTCACTCGCTGTTACCTACAGGGTTTATCGTAGAGCTCTGGCTCTCAGAAAAGTCTCACAAAACATGTGTACAGCTGTTGTTTCACAGTGCAAAATGTAGTTTCACACACACAAAAAAAATGTGACATTTTGAGAAGCACAGCTTATGGGACTTGTCACAAGCTTGTAGAAAACAACCAGAGTGTTTAACATCCTCCTAAACCTAACCAGCTAGTACCTGAACTTAATTTCACAGTTTGTTAGCATGAACAGCTAAACCGATGAAATGTGTCACCCCTTCTCCCACCTTCGTATGCAGACTGCACTGCTGTATTTATGTGTGAAGCAAAAGGAATTTGCAGGCACTAGGAACCAACGTAGCTGTTACGTATTCTGTTTGCGTCCCTGGTGATCCAACTGTGCTTATAAAACTTCCTCATGCCCATTGACCAAAAAAAGTTCCCTTAGGGTGCAAGTGCTCTTCTGCCTTCTCAGACCTGTGAGCATTGGTGCAGGCATGAGCAGGTCCGTTAGATGAGTTCGTATAGTTAGAATCTAAGCTCGGCTTTAGTGGACCAGATGCCACATTTACAGCTTTCATTCTGATGTGTCTGATATTCCCTGTCTGGGAAAAACTCTGGTGTAAATATACATAGAATGCAGTATGATCAGAGCTCCAGATGTTATCGGGCCAATCAGATTGGAATCACATCTCAGTCAGGCACACATCTGCACTCTGATACCACATTCATTCACTAATGGCAGGTTGACTCACATTTATAACGTCTGTCTGCTCCAGCATGTCTGGTAATCCTGTTTCACTGGTCAGCTGGGTCTGGTGTATTTATCTGTGAGTGATGACCGCCTGAACCTGAACACAAACTCCTGATAATTACAATATGGTCACTGTGGGATTCTTTCCTGGCTTTACAAGCAGCATGGATGAATCACGTACCAGCTGATCAGCCTGGTCCGGTGGATACAAAAGGCAACAAACAACACACTGTCTTCCATTTCTGGGACGTTTTAACACTGAACACTTGTTGGTCTGTTATGTAGAGATCCAAAGGAGCATGCTGGGCAGATCCAGCTCACCTGGCCCGACTAATGCCTCCACCATATGAAGTGGTGGCAGTCAGTCAGTTTTGTCTACTCATATTTAACCTCCCTGCAGTGTCCTAGTGGAGTGAGTGAATGCTCAACACTGTCTGTATTTGATGTTGTTTCCAGTATGTTTACTTGACTTGTTCTAGAGAACAAGCTTGTAGCTATGCAGCATATACTGTATGGAAGGAATGAGTGCGCATGCAGCCAGTCTGTCCTCTGAAGGTTGTTGGAACCCAAAGGGACAGTTTTCTTTGTGTATTGTTATTTTTTGCTGTACAGGAATGCTTTACAAGTTCCAATTACCATTTTAAATGAAGCGTGTGCAGAACACAGCAGCACTGCGGATCCTTGATTATTGACCGCGGTCACTCAGGAGGCCGCTGTACATCTGTCCTGCACAGAAAACACACAGTAACTCGGATTCTGATCAGGAGGAGATGAAGCCATCCTCTTGTTAAGTTGTTTGGATGCAGGAGGACAGAATGAGATCAGACCTTTTAGTATTTCGTTTTAGACCTTGAAGGTAGAATAATGAAGCCACACCTGCGTGTACGTTGGCTGTCCAGACTTAGACGCTGCACATGTTCTACTGAAACAACATTCATTCAAAAACATGAATCAATGGTAGAAGCAGAGATGGAAAGGAAGCAGATGAACAGCAGCAGTTTCCGTTATTCATCTGTCAGATAATTAGTGTCAGATATAATTTGAGAATCTCCACCACCCTTTGATTTTAGCTGTATTGAACCAAACTAAACTGAAATTGTACCGAAACTGTGGTTCACAGTCACCTGCTTGCATGGGTCAGTTTTTTATGGTTGGACAGGCTTTAAGAGTGAGGAACACACTCATGGACCACCTTACACTGTGCACCTTCAGGCAGCCCCACACAGCAGGTGGTACTCCAGAGAAATCTGGTGAACTTTTGAGTCTGGTCTTAAATCGTCAACCCGAGTAAATCTTCCTTGACTGATATTGTACCTTGTTCCTGAATGCAGATGAACTTAATGTTCCACAGTGTGCTGTAGTAGGTGGGTACTCGGTTTTTTCCACTCCCAAAAATCACAGCTTGATGGCTGTTGACGCAGCAGATTGTCCAGACAATAAGAATGTGGTCAGAGGAGAGCACATTAACGAACCGATCAACCTGGAGTCTACATATGCACATTTAACATGAAGTGTTTGGTCACTTCAGGATACTTGGAGTTGAATCACTAATGTTTTGGGGTTTTTTGTTGTTGTTGTTGTTGTTGTTTTTCTTGTTGCTATGGCGCCGTGGGAGTGGCAGTTCCTACTTTCTGTCTTTTTGGCTGATTACTTTGGTTTTTCTTTTATCTTTTTAATATTTCCATTTCACACAGCTGCTCCACATTTGTGCGGGAACAGTGGAGATGCAGATGGCGTTTTTGTTGGTCTGTTCTTTTTTGCGAGTTTTTGAGGTCCGTGTCTGAGGAGCCGTTGATCCGTTGAGCCGTGGATCTATTGTTTTACACTCGTGAACAGATGTTGGGGGTGAGCCAGGCCAAGCCACCGTCGTGGGAGAGACCAGACATCCCCGATGAGCTGGAGGAAGAGGGGATGCAGGGCAGAAGTGAGACATCGGTAGAAGAGGAGACGCTACAAGCCGCCTGTCCGTCCATCATCATGGGAAATGTCAGGTCTCTCCCTAACAGGATGGAAGAGCTAACAGCTAACAGCTAACAGCGCTGATCCAGCTGCAGAGGGAGTATCGGGAGTGCAGCCTCATGTTGTTCACGGAGTCACGGCTGAACTCACTCCGGACTCGCTCGTAGCTTTGGACGGATTCCATCTGGTCAGAGTGGACCCGAGCTGGAGGGAGAGCGGTAAGAAGAAAGGCTGGGGACTCGCCATGTATGTGAATGAGAGATGGTGTGATGCTAGCACGTTAGCTTTAAAGAGCGGCGCTGCACGAGGGATGCTGACCGGCTGGCCGTTGGTTTGCAGTCGTTTTACCTGCCGAGGGAGTTTTCACACGTCCTGGCGGTTACAGTTTCCATCCCCTGATGCTGCTGCAGCCTGTGAACTCATCCACAGTTCAGTGTCCCAGCTGCAGACATCACACCCTCAGTCTCTGATGGTCATCTCAGGAGACTTTAACCAGACATGGTCTCTACCGCTATCCCCACATCAGCCAGCATGTGGACCGGAGACGGTGGAGCCTTGGACCTGCTGTGTGCCGACACCAGGATGCATATTACTCAACTATTGTTATTTTCTTGTACTTTCTATATTTTTGGATGCTGCTGTGGCGTGTACATTTCCCCCAATGGGCGATCAATAGAGTCTTCTATTCTATTCTATTCTATTCTATTCTATTCTATTCTATTCTATTCTATTCTATCCTACTCTATTCTATTCTATTCTACTCTATTCATTTTCTAGACTGGAACTGATCGATTGTATGCAGTCTAGGAGGTCTATCAGTTATATGAGACACTTTTTCTGCT